TGGTTGCCTTATCTTTATGTTGGGGTGGCCATGACAGGAGCCCAGTCTCAGCTCTAATTCTATAAATGGAGCCAGGCCACAAGGCCAGACGCTGCCCCTTGGACATACAATTTGGCCTCTGATTCCTTCCAAAATCCAAAGCTTCTGTTCACAATTTGCTTCAAAAAGATCATGGGTGATAACAAAATCATAGGAAAAGTACCATTCATGATGGTCTTGTTCTTTCTGGTCCTGTCTTGTTTCCCAGCAACTGTTCAACCTTCCATCAACACTGCAGTCCAACTAATGGCTGGATTTGGCCCGTCTATTGTTTTACCACTCACTGGGAATGTCTATCCACGGGGGTATACATGCTTTTGATCCTCTAAAATATTTTTGATTATGCCATTTTCAGGTTTCCTTTAAAATTTAGATTGGAAATCATGGAATCAGTCATGTTTCCTTGTAGGTACTTTGAATTGTCCCTCCGCATAGGCAATCCGCCCAAGTCTTTTACCTTTGAGATCGACACTGGCAGTGACCTCACTTGGGTGCAATGTGACGCAGACTGTGAAGGATGCAGTCTGGTAAAAGGAATTTTGATAGTTGATTTTCTATATCATGTCTCACTCATATTTCTTTCTTGTGTATGTTTGTGAGTTTATCTGTACCTTTCTGCAGCCCAAACATGAACTTTACAAGCCAGGAAAAGCTTACGTGCCATTTGACGATCCCTTGTGCGCTGAAATTGGCAACCCAGGATCCGACGATCCAAAAAAAATATGTTCCTTCAACGTTACATATGTTGATGGTTCAACTAGTGGTTACCTTGTTCGAGATATCTTTACCTTGCGACCCGATAAGGGCTCTACTTCTGGTTCTAGTACTTTGACCTTTGGGTGAGTTTTTCTACTCTATATATACCTTGATTCACAATTGCAAGTTTGCAACATTGATTCCTTTTAATTACCTCTTGTTTGCAGGTGTGGAAATAAAATACAATCTTACACTGGAGAACCTCTTGAGACTGCGGGAATCCTTGGACTTAGCAAGAGTGTGGTAAGCATCCCTTCTCAGCTTCGTGCTGTACGAGAAACACAGAATGTAATAGGTCATTGTTTGAGTGGGAAAAGTGGAGGATTTTTGTTCATTGGAAATGATCCTGTACCTTCTTCAGGAGTAACTTGGGTACCAATGTTGAAGAAAAAGTAAGCCTAATCTTTTCCCTGTTTTTTTTATTGCAATTCCATGTTTGATGCCTTCTATGACATGTTCAGTACCTGCTGATTTTGTTTCAGACAATATTATGCATCCGGTCCAGCAGATCTCTTCTTTGATGGAACTGACATAAAGCTTTCTCATGTACTCTTTGATTCTGGCTCTACCTACACTCTCTTCCCTTCTACAATTTATGGAGCTATACTCAGTTTGGTGAGATAAAAACAAAGCATATATAGGGCTCGCTGGATGAAATTCACTATTAACATAATACATAATAGGAGCTAATATTGCTTGCTTCATGTTTCAGTTGAGCAAGGATCTAATTGGCAAGAAATTAGTACAAGTACCATTTGAACAAGATGGCACTCTCCCCGTCTGCTGGAGAGGCATAGAACCTTTCAAATCCCAGTCTGATGTTAAGAGATATTTCAAGACCTTTACACTGAGATTTACAAAGGATGCTGGCCTGCAACTACCACCCGAAACTTATCTGGTGATCTCGGTGAGCATCTTCAGACCAAACACTTGTAAATGCAATTTGATACAGGAAACATGATGAGGAATTGGATTAACTAATACAATATGCTCATTCCTTTCAGGAACATGGAAATGCATGCCTAGGAATTTTGAATGGCACTGTGTATGGTGTGGAATATAATTTACTTGGAGGTACTTATATCATTGAGTTTGGTCTCTAATATTTTGTTTGTTTTTCTTTAGGCAACCTAACTCTTTTTTGTTTTTTTTCACCATTTTGCTATATATTAGCCATTTCAATGCTGGACAAAATGCTTATTTATGACAATGAGAAGGGGCGGATTGGATGGACTTCTGGAGACTGCTTTCCTCCTATTTCCCGAACTGAGCCATTCTCTGCTATGCTGTAGAAGAAGGGATTGAGCAAAAATGAATAAAGGAATATTAGCCTTTCCGAAAACCACTTTTTTCTGTTCATGTTGTATGTTCAAGGTATAATAAATGAAATGAGTGCCAAATATAACTAGATCAAAATATTCAAGTCAAACTACAATTATATAAGAAATATGTTTGCTTATAAAGAATGTAATGATGCATGAATGTTTTTATTTTTTTTTTTTAAATCTTGATTGCAAAATAAAAGATATTTTTTTTTATCTATTATTGTATCCCACTTGCATTAAACATAATATATATATTTTATACATAATAAAATTAGTTACTCAATATATCAAAAATTTAAATTTAATTAATAAATTTCAATTTAGTCAAACCCTATTAATAGCATTTGATATTTCTTAAGATCACTTAAATATGAATTAGTTGTAAGATCCAAGGCCTCCTTGATTCTTCAAAAAGATATTATTATAAATTTTCTTTTTTTTAACTAAAGTAAATTAATGCATTTAAAATTATGAAAAGGGATTTGTAAAGTTTCAACATGAAACTCACAAGAGGAGGTGGTGACACTAATCCAAATCAAAGTCATTAAATCGAAGCGTGGAGATCAGATTTTTATAAATTTTCATATTCGAACGACCATTAAAAATTAAAATTAGTGTGGGGTGAAAATCCGTGTTAATTTAAAAATTACAGGACAAAAAGGAAATTTTGTTGACTTCTGATGGCACACATGTAACGAGGCGCGGAACACGTGGACATTGTCCCATCTCCAATTCTTCGGAGTAGAACCCATGAAGTGAAATCTTTCGGTTAAAACCTACTTTTTATTTTTATTTATTTTAATAAATTTATAAGTTTTAGCATTTTTCTGTGGTGGTTCATTGGTAGAGTCATTACATCTTAATAGGGTTATTGATGGATTACATCATAATCAGTGATCGAATCAGTAAGTTACTAACCCAACTTTTAACTCTTAACTTTTAACAATTATCCTTGTAAAAAAAAAAATTTATAAGTTTTAATCATTTAATAATATTTTTAATTTTTAATTTTAATAAATTTTTAAGTTTTAATATATCACTTTGTAACATGATATTTTAAACTTTTCACCTATATAAATTAAAAAAAATAACTTTTATTTAAAGTCAAATTATAACTTTCTATTAATTTTGTTGATAGATCTCCATTCACAATCTTTGCTCATCCCTGGATTTTTACTTTCGTTTGAATTTTTTCCAAAGGAAAAGATGAATAAGATAAAAGCAAAGCAACTTTATCGGTGACCGGTGATTTTTATCCTCTCTGCAACTTTCCAAGGTTGTTTCCCAGCTGCCAGTCAGCCTCCAAACAAGAAAAACTAAATCCAATCCGCTACCGCCCCTGGGCCTCTTCTTTTTCCTGTTACTGGGAATGTTTATCCTCTTGGTTATGTTTCTGATTCTTTCAGTCTTGAGGTATTCTCAAGTAATGTTAGTTGGGATTCGTACCCATTTCCATTTTCTGGAGAAATTTTACTAATTTGCTAGTTCTTGATTGATTTCCTTAATTAGTTGTGCATTTTCTATACATTCTTGGTTAATCTCAGGACACATTTACATATATTAATTGTTTCACCCTGAAAGATATGATATTCCTTTGTTTCTTGCTCAATTTTTT